TAATAAGAATTAATATATATTATAAATAGAAGAAAATGATATAAGAAAAATGAAGAAAATGAATAAGAAATAAAATTTAAAGAAATTTTATAAAATAAGTGATAAAAGAATTAAAAAAAAAAATGAAAAAATGAAATATATTTATTGAAACAAAATAAGAATGAATTATCTATAATAATGAAATAATAAATTTAATAAAATAATAAAATAATAAATTTAATGAAATTAATAAATTGAAATTAAATAAAATAAAGAATTATTTAATAAAATAGATTAAAAATAAAATGATAATAAAATAACAATATAAAATAATAAAGAATAACAATATAAAAAGGAATTATTATAAATAATTAAAAATAATCGAAGAAAAAAGTAGAAATGAATTAATTAAGAAAATATTAATTATATAAAATAATACTTCTGAATTAATATATATTTATAATGATAAACTAACAACAAGTGAAATATATATCATTAAAATGTAATATAAATAAGAATATATAAAATGATAAATAAGAATTAATAAATAAATATATAATTAGAATAATCAATATAAAATATAATAAATAAAGAAAAAATAAAGAAGAAAAATAAAATTAATAATCAACAAAAATGAAATAATTAGAAATCAAAAGAAGAATATAACGAATGAAGAATGTATTGAAACATGAAGTAATTAATAAAAGTTAATATTTCATAAACAACAAGATATTTTATAGAAGATAAGATAAATGATAAAATGAAATGATAAAAAGATGAATCTAATATTTAATAAGAAAGTAGAAATAGATAGAAATCACTGAAATAAAACAATAGAAATCAATAAAGTAAATTATAAATAATATCAGTAATAAATAAATTAGTTAATAAACAAATAGTAAGAATAAACAAAGAATAAAGTATTATAAAACAATATGAAATAATGATAAAAGATATAATAATTAAAAACATGAAAGACATAATAAAATAATAATAACAAAATCATACAAATAGGTTAATACAGAAATATAGCAAATAAATAACAAATGAAAGAGAATAAATAAAAATAACAAATAAACAAAAAGAAGAAAAATCAAAATAAAGTTTTTTATTAATTTTAATTATGAAATAATTTCAAAATCTTACTTTGTTATTATGAAAACTTTGATAGCTGTAGGTGGTAGTATTCTTATAGGGGGAATCACTTATCTCATATCGTTTAAATCAAGTGAAAAAGAACGTGAGTATTTTGAAATCAAAAATGGTCAATCAACACAAACAATACAACTATTTGGAGCATTGACGAGAAAAAGTCAAGAACTATGTGTTGATCTCTTTAACCAATCTATTCCTTTAATTTCTCAATGTTTTGTTCTAGAAATTACAACAAAAGAATTAAATAAACAACAAAAAATGTATCAAATTCAATGTATTGTTGAAAAGAAAATCTCAGAATGGTTTGCACGTTCAATAAGTTCAGCACTGATTTCTTTATCAACACATTTAGGTATTGTACTAAATAAAAGAGACTCAATACTACAAGAAACTTCGATTCAAACAATTATCACTGAACCCTCAAAAAGAGTTAAAGAATATTGTGAGACTATATTTTTGCTTGTTCAATCATTACATATGAATGCCTTTGCTAAGGTCAAAGAAATTAATCTCAATGATTTGTTGAAAACTCTACAACAAAATCTTTTAATTGAAATGATTTCGTTTATTCAAAAAAGTATTAAAAAGAGAATAGAAACTAAAGATCAGGAAGCATTACTTGACGATCTTCATATTGACTCTTTTGTTAAAATACTTATTAAATACCATACTACACAATTAAATAATATTCTTTTGAAACAAAAAGAAACAATCACTAACGATCTTTTAATATGTCAATTTGTTACTAAATGTAATGTAATAATCCAAACACTTCCAATTACACCAGAATTCTTTATGTGTGATGAGATGAATCAAAAGTTATTTGAATTTTTTCAATAATGTTATTTAGAAAATCAATTGTGTTATTTTAAATTATAATTTTAAGAAAAATAATAATAAAAATATAAGAAAAAAATAGTAAAAATATAAAAAAGTAAAATCCCGAAAAAATAGGTAAAAAAAGAAGAAAAGATAAACCCTGATTTTTTAATAAGAACTGAACATCAAAAAAAGAAACAGTCCACTTATGCAAATAATTGTTAAGAGACTTTCTGGTAAAGTAGAAGCTGTTACTGTTTCTGAGAACGAAACTGCTGGTATGCTTATGAATAGACTTAGCTGTGGTAAACTCCTTGCAGGATGTAGAATTCTTGGATGTAATGAAATTATTGTTGACTCAACACTCTTCGAAATGGGTGGACTTGAAGGAGGTAAAAACAAGAAATCAAAGAAGAAGGATACCTCAAAACCAAAACACAAGAAACATGTTAATAAGAAAGTCAAACTCGCATGTTTAACTCATTATAATGTTACTAGTGCTGGTAAAGTTGAAAGATTAAGAAAATGCTGTGCTAATAAGAAATGTGGAGTAGCTTGTTTCCTTGCTCAACACAAAGACAGACTTACTTGTGGTAAATGTCATACTCATATTCCAAAGACCAATTGAGTAACTTGATGATTTACTTTTTTTTAAATTTTTAAGAATAAATAAATAATAATAATCTTTTTCTTTATTTCTTTAAAAAGTATATTAATTTATTTTACTTTTTTATATAAAAAAACCCTTTTTCTTTTTAAAAATTAATATTTTTAATTGGTTTATGTTTTAGTTTGTTCTTTGAGAAAATAAGAAAGTATGGAAAAAGGATTGTCAATCCTTTCAATCTTTCAAATATTCAACAAAGGGAATCCTATCTTATTTTTGACTAAATAAACCTTCATCCATAAATTGAATATTAGAAATATCCATCTATCATTGTTTTAAAATAAATAACATTATTAAGTTCTTTTAATAAAAAAGTTTTATTTTTTTTTTTTTATTCATTGAAATGTATTAATATTACTTGTTACTCCAATAAGTTTTTCATTAAAGAGATAATTAGGGTTCTTCTATATGAACTAATTAACATTGTTTTATGTCTTTAAGTCAAGTACTCATTCAATTAATTATAGGTCAACAAAATCAACAAACAGCATCCCAAATTAATGAATTATCTAATCGGCCATTATCAGAAATTCTTCCACCAGTAATAGACTTATTACAAGACCCTAAAGTTATTCAAAATCCACCAACATTAATGAAAATTTTAATTTTTATGAAAAATTGTCTTACAGCTAAAGATCCTGAAAAAGCATCAAATAAAAAAGCACAATGGAATACATTTACTATTGATATTAAAAATGGAATTCATGGAGTTCTTTTTAATCTTCTTAATTCAGTAGATTCACAAGTTCATTCTATTTTAAGTGAAGTTATTGCTATTATTGCATCATATGATATTCCAATGTCACAATGGAGTGATTTAATAGAAGTTTTAACGAATGAATCATTTTCAATAACTATACAAAAAGCATGTCTTAATATTTGTTCATTATTATTTGAAAAGATTGATGAATATAAAATGACAGTATATTTAACTAAAATTTTACCAAGATTTGTTAGTGATATTAATAATGAACATCTTTATGAAATAAGATTAAATGGAATTAAAAATTTATTAAGTCATTATCGATCATTTTCTTTTAATAATTTTGATGTTCTTTTTGATATTGTTGTTGATTTATCTAAAACAAATATTAGTGAAAATGCATTAACTATTAGATTAGAAACTCTTTCAATTGTTATAGAAAATTTATATGAAAAACTTCTTGGTCAAAATGATAGATTATGTAATTTTCTTATTAATATAGTTGAAAAATATGGATCAAGTGAAGATATTGTAAAAAAAGTATATGATGTTTGGTGTACTATTGGTAGAGTTGAAAGTGATACTGTTAAAATAAGAAAATCACAAAATATATTAATTACTTCTATAAGTAGATTATATCCTCAAATTATTAGAGTTATTAATGGATTTGCTAAAGAAGTAGTTCAAGAAGATGATGATGAAGGAGAAGATCAAAATAGTGTTATTTATGTTTCACAAGAAATTATTACTTATATGACTATGGTAGCACATGATCCATTTTCATCTAATGTATTAAATTCTATTACACAATCATTAAATGAAAATCAATTAGCACAACAATATATTTCATTAATGTTATTTGGAGCTATTCTTGAAGGAGGATGTTCATTAAAAAATTTAATAATTCAAAATATTCCAAGTATAGTTCAAATTTATTCTAATTCTCAAAATGGTTTAATTAAAATGGCAGCTTCTAAAGCATTAATTAAAGTATTAAAAATGATGCCACAATTATTAAATGGACAAATTATTAATCAATTAATTACTACTGCACTTAATATTATTTCAAGTAATAATAAATCATATATTATTTCATCATGTTTATTGATTGGATATATATATAAAACAGTTGAAGAAGGAAATTCATTAACATCTAGTGTAAATCAAGTTCATTCAACATTAATTAAATTAGTACAAATGAATGATGAATTAATTCAAAGAACATCACTTCAATCATTAAAAAGAATTGTTGGAAATTTATATAAAGTAAATGCTAAACCATTAATATTAAATACATTTAATTCAATTATTCAATTTATTCAAATTTTACAACAAAGAGGTAATATGAAAGCTATTTCTATTTGTATACAAATTATGGGAGATTGTATTGATGAATTAACTGAAGAAATACAATCAAATTCAAATACTATTAATCTTCAACAAACAATGAATATTTTAATTAGTTATTTAGCTAATACAGATACATTTGATTCTTCAATGAAAGCAATAGTTACAGTATCATCAGTATTAGCAGAACAATTCCAAATATTTACAGGACCAGTTGTAGAAAAATTATTAATTACTTTAAAAGAAGTTAATCAATCAGAAATGATTAAAGAAAGTTGTATTACTATAGAACAATTATCTCTTGCAATTAAATCAGCAATGTTACCTTATGTAGAACAATTATTAACACAATTATTTAATAATTTACAATCAAATCAACTTAATTTTAAAGTTAAATTTACTATTATTAAAGCCATTTCTGGTTTAGCTATTGGAATTGGTTTTAATAAATTTTCAAGATATACACCAATAATATTAAATGCATTAGGTCAAATTACTAAAAATCTTCTTGGATTAAAATTAGATCTTTATAATGAAGATGGTGCAGAATTCTTTGAAAGTATGATGGAATCTATTCTTATTTGTTATTCTAGATTATATAAAGGATCAGATCAATCTATAATTAATTTTATTGATATTCCAATTAATTTAACATTAAATATTCATCAAATAATATGTAGTGGTAGTGGATATGTAAATACTGATATTATTTATAGTGCTGTTTGTGCATTTTATGATACAATTGTATCATTACCTTTTATTTGTCAAAATCAAGAATCATTTAAAAAAATATTCACTCCATCTGTTCTTGAAATTATTCATTCATGTGATTCAAATACTGAAGAAGAAGATTTAAGAATTAATGTTGATTCTTTAGTTAATAAATTAAAGAAATTAAATATTTTTCAATGATTGATAACAAAAATTAATTTAATTCTTTTTTATTTAAATTTAAATTTTATTCAATTAAATTTAAAAATTAAAATGATATTCATTAATAATTTTATCAATATCTCCATATTTAATAGAATCACCTAATATTGAAATTTCTATTGATTTAATTTCAATAAAAAGATTATTTATTGGTGTTTTTTCTATTACTTTTTTATTTAATTGTATAACACCAATATAATAATTCTCAACAACTTTACAAAGTTCTTCAATTCTTATTTTTAATTGAACTAAACAATTTTCATAAGGACTTTCTATAATTTCTTCTTCTTTCTTTTCTTCTGGTATACAAATAGAAATATCAACTAAGTTAGAATAACGTTTTGCTAATAAAATACATTCTTTAATAACTCCTGTAATTTGATATGCAACAATTCCACTATAACTTCCACATCCCCATAATGGTGTTGATATACCAATATCTTCTTTTCTTTGAACTACAAAACATTGATCTCTAACACTATTTAATTCTATTTCAATCATTTCTTTATTAAGAATTAAAATTTCAAGTATTCTACCAAATGAACAAATAAAATCAACTACTGTTGCATCTGTTTGGATTTGATAAATTCCTTTATTTTCTTTTTCTTTTATTTCTCTGAATAGTTTTTTAGTTAAATTAACTAATCTTGATGGTCCTTTCATAGTAAATTGTTTAAAAAATGAAGATTCTACTGGTTGTGTTATTTTGTTATTTGCAATTAACCCAAAAAATACTCCAAGAACTAATGCATTAAAACAATTCCATATTTTAATATTTCCATTAATAATTGTTAAAATATTCATTTCATTTCCTTCTAAAAATGCTTTATATTCAGGAATTTTCATTTTAATAGGTTTAATTTGTAATTTCTCAAATACTTCAAATGTCATCTTTTTTTCATTATTATAAAGAACTTCTCCTTCTCCAATAAGTACTTTTCCTATAGCAGCAATATGATATGTATTGTTACAAATACTTCTTTTTGTTTTTAATGGAATAATTGGAAGAATATCTTTTTGATATAGTTCTTGAAGAAGTTTAATAGTTTCATATTGTACTGGAGTATTTCCTCTACAAATCGCATTCATTTTTAATAATAAAATACCTCTTGTTTTAAATGGAGAAAGTATTTCTTCAGAACATCCATCTAATTGTTCATTAAATTTTTCTAAAATATTAATATTTGTATCTTCTGATATTTGAGGAATACTTTCTAAACATGTTGGATGAAGATATATCTGATGTGATTTTTTACATCCCTTAATAAGATATTGAGGTGTCATTGTAAACCCATCTATTAAATATACAAATTCTTCTTCTTTATTTTCTTCTAAATCTTTATTTATTTGCTTTTTCATTTTATTTATTTTTTAGTTTTTTTTTTTTTATCCTTTTTTTGTTTATTTCAAAACTTTCTTTATTAAATGAAATTCAATTTAAATCTGTTGTTCAACAGAAACAAAAACAACATTATTCTCTTGTACTACCCCAATAAATGAAATATCATTTTCTTTATTTATTTCATTTGGTGTAAAGACACTCTCAATAATTCTTTGTTTTGAGTTAACAACCTTCAACACTTGTTCTTTATTATTGACACCACAAATGGCTATTAATTCATCATTGATAGGACGTACTTTATAACCATTTTCAATAAGATGTTTGTATACAATAACTTTTGAATTCCAAAATACCCTTAACTCATCTTGTCCTTGAGCTCTTCCCATTTGGACTAAAGCAGCAGCAATGTCTTTGTTAATGCACTGGGGTTTAAAGATAATAGTTTTGATTGTTTTAAATTTACTTTCAGAAACTAGTTTCTGTAATAATTTTCCTTTCATGTTTGTGACTTTATAGCAATCCTCATCAACTTTTGTTAATGTACATTGATGGAAAACAACTTGTTGTTTACTTTCCTTTTGTCTTTTCATTCAAAGTGGTATTGGATAGTTCATCAGTAATAAATATATATATTAAAAAAGAACAACTCAGACTCAAATGAAAGTTGAAATCACTGGAAACTATAAAAGAATCCTACTTAAGATAACGCAGTAAAGTCATCATTGTCATTATTTGTCATTTCTTTAATAATAATAATATGTATAATAATTATAATTAATTATTATGGTTTTATTTAAAATGAATATTAAATAAAATAATAAATTAATTACGTATTAATAGAATTGTTCTTTATTATTCATTCTTTTTATTAAGACTAATACTGTCGTTATTAATTATTTTAATTGTGTATTTCTCTTTTACAGAAGTAATGTTCCATAAAGCCATTCTTATTTTTTTTAGTTATAAGGTTTTTGATTTCTTTTATGATGTTAATTTCATTTTTTATTTCTTTAATTAATTTAATCTTCTTTGTATTTACAAACAGATTTATTGTTATTATTGGGTTTTATTTTTTACATCTTTTAATTTCTCTATTTTAATTAGCATGTTCTTCATTTCTTTATACAGAGATGCCGAAGCATTACAGGACACACCACAAAAATTATAAAACAATCAATAACAAAAGAAGGAGAAGTCCATATCATCCATGAAATATAATTGATAGAAGAATGTGTGAAAACACGTATTATCTGTATGGACAGAAATACATTAATCTCACATTAATCATTACCATATTAATATCTATCACCATAACAATTATCATAACAGTTATAATAATAATGATATGAATCGTTTCACTCATCATTTCATTCATTTTCATCATCATAAGTATTTTATCAATAATTCAAATAGAATCAATCAATATTATAATACAAATAATTCACATAATAAAACACAACATAGACATAAACAATACCATAATAAAAGACAACAACAAATAAGAAATAAAAGAAATGATAGAAATACAAAACCAAGAATATTTGAAAAGATTATTTGAAGAAGAAATTAAAATACTTACACAAGAAATAGAATAAATTAAGAACACTAAGATTAAAGAATATAATCAACAATAATGAGAAGATGGTATTTATTTGTAAGAGAAAAAATAAAAATGAATAGAAATGAGTGATTATCAGTATGACACTTGAAGAAGATGATAAACAACTAAATCAAAATGAAACAAATGATAAATACTTAAATAAGAAATATACAATGATGAAAATGATGATGAAAATGAAATTACTGAAGAGAAGAAGATGTTTAATGAAAAAGAAAATATGAAATTAAAAGAATAAGAAAAGAACAATGAAAAAGATAAAAGAATAGAAGAATTAAAGAAAAGAAGAGAATATTAAAGAGAAAGAAGAAATGAAAAAAGAAATACAAAAGAATGACCAGACCATTAATAAATTATCAAATGACATTATTTCATTAAAGAAGAAGTATGTAAAGGAGATAAACACTAAAAAACAAGAAAGTGATAGAAAATTATTCGAATTCCATGCTGAATCAGAAAGGAAAAGGTCTGAATTAAACAATTTATCACAACAAGTATACTTCATGAAAGATAAATTATTTAAATTACAAAATAAAATTACACAAGAAGAAAAGAAGAAAGAAGAGATAAATCACACTATATCAGACTCATCTGAAACACAAATTGTGAATGACATCACACCAATGTTGTAGTAACTGATGAAATATCATCAAATAAAGATGATCTTCAAAAAAAGAAAGTTAATACAGAATTCAATCGAATAGATGGGAATTCAGTATAAAAAGATCAACACATATGATCATGACATTCAAAAAATAATTGAAGCAAACAAATAGAGAAGAATAAATTCTAACACTCTATAAATGTTTTGCACTGAAGTTATTAGAAAGAAAATTAAGAGGTCAACTTAAAGAAGAAGAAATAAAAAGATTAATACATGAATTTGATATTAAAATAGAAGATATTAATGAATATAAAGAAATAATAAAGAAAACATTTAAAATAAAGAATGAAATTAAAATTGAAATCAATAAAAGAATAGAAGAAGAATTAATAATACACCAATGGAAAGATATTGAATTAAAAGAATTAATAAAATAAATAAGAAAGAAGAAATACAAGAAGAGGAGGTAATAAGAATATTTAAAGAAGAAGATATGAAAGAACAAGAAGATGTACAATTTATTAATTATTATTACAATAAAAACAAAATACATCAAATAATTAATATCATTAATACAAATGAAATATTAATCAATACATTAGATGATTATTATCATTATATTAAAACTATAACCTCCACCATTAACATCATTATTAATAACAATCAAGAAAGAAGTTGAAGGAGAAGTATAGAAAAAATATTACAATCAAAATATGTAGATTAAGAGACTTGCTCCATAATAACCAATATATGAAATTAAAAAGAATATTACATATTAAAAATATGATATATATCATATTAAAGTAAAACAAATGATCAAATAAACTATTACAAATACCTCCAAAGAATGAAAAGAATAGAAATAGAATTACGAAT